GAGTGTACCTGTCTAAACCGTGAGCCTTATGTTATGCTCCTAATAAGAATCTAAGTTCACCTTCCCAAAGAAAAAAAGTCACCTCAAATCACCTCACAGAAGCCTCGGAGAAGGACCGTGTATGCCACTGATGCAAGCTGTCATTGTTTTTCCTCTGTAATGTAGAAATTTGTAGAAATTCCTCACTGGCTACCTATTGCCCAGCACAGACACCAAGTCTGGGCTGCAAACCTACGTTCTCATATAAAAAAAACTAAGGAGAAATGGGGACAACTTCTAGAGAAGGTTGTGTATGTAGTAGGAAGAACTGAGAATGGGTTGGGATATCTCCGAGAAGGACAGATGATTTTGCCTTTTTTTTGCAGTAATGTCATTCTTGCATGAGATGTCCCATTTTCTAAGGCCACCCTTTACAGGGATACCAAACTCTCAGAGTTGGAAGAGACTGAGCCAAAATCCTGCGGGTACTTTAGATTTTGAGAACAACTCACCAGCAAAATTGAGAGTGCCCTAAATGAACTGGAATTCCTCAAGTGGAGCAGAGTTGCCACGGCAGCTACCACGGTCTGTGTCGCAGGATGAGGCCAAGACAAAGGGAACAGCTAAACTAATCACAAGCAGCTAAATCTGCTTCAAAATCTCTTTCCTGAGTTACATCGAATGCTCTTTAGCCCCTGAATCTGGCCCTCATCTCTCCCAGCTGTGTTCCCACTCAGGACTTTATGCACTACTTCTCTGCTCTCGCCTTTGGTACAGCACTGAAAACCTATTTTGTTTTGGTGTTTTACTGCATCCTTAGACCTGTTTCTCTCTAAACCCCATCACTGTACTGGTCAATGATATGCCCTTCTCCCAGCAGGACCAGTGTTTCTGCCTGTAGAAACTAAGATCTCTATAAGAACCGCATCACCCTGTCCTTCAAGGCACTTGCATGAATCGGTGAAGTCAGGCCTTCTCTCCCCACTTTTGTTTTTTAATTATGTGTGGCCACTGCATGCAATTATGGCAACAATGTCCCTATGTCAAACCTGTATTTTTACAGAACATAGCAGAGAATGAGATCGGGTATCAAAATAATGCAAATGTCTTGCAGGCAGCATGAAGGTTTGTCAATATTGGTTTTGGACAGCGTATCTCATCTCTAACTGTGAACCATCTCTTTTTATCATTCAGAAAAGACCTTGATCACAGCTCCCATGAGAAATTCAGACAGGGTGAATGTCCCAAAAAAAGCATAGCCTGTAAATTGATAAGAATGAAAAGAGAAATGGCATTTCCAAGAACATAACCTCCCAGCTACCTCACAGCTTGCTAGACCCTTAAGCCTAACCCCTCCCCACAAACAGTTGAGAGCTGCTTGAAAAAGAGCCAATAAGGCAGCCAAAAAGCAAGATGTTCTTGCTTGGGAAAACATATTCTGGTGTTTAGGGTTGGAGTCTTGCTACCTTCTAATGGACCCCTTTTATGGCCTCAGCTGTTGACTTCACTGCTAGAGTAGACAGACAAGGATGAACAGGAATAACAGAGAAGTCCTAGCAACAGGAGGACAGAATATCAAGTCTATCCTGCAGTTATAATGCCTTCTCCATTTGAAAAGGCCAAGGCAGACATAAGAAACCAAAGCAGTGAGGTCATCTCCCAACACCCCTGGAGTCAAACCCTGTGGGTCGTTTCCTTCACGCACTGCATGACACTTGCACATTGATTTATTTAAAACAAATGTAAAAACTTCTCTTTTTCAGTGAGGACAGTTAAGAACAATAAACAATTAACGAGTTCTTCCACGAGCAATGGAATTAATGAGCCTGGTTTCCTACAGATATATTTCGGATGACCCCTTCAGCTGCCAGTCTTCTCAATGACTTCTGTCTGTTAGGGCAACAGGCAGCATAGGCTGGGGCTGAGTCAGCTACATCTGTCCAACTGACAAGTTGGCTGCTACCTCTTAGAACAGGGCTGGGAAATCCTTCAGTGAGGACACTCAGTAAGGACTCTGTCCTCACAGTAATTTTCAAGAAATATAGAAGAACATACTATTTCTGAGACTCCTATCACTCTTACAAGAACTTGCCAACAAGTTCAAAATTTGTGGGAAAAAGAGCAAGGACTCAATGATAGGTAACGTGACTGGAGATGCCTCAACTGACCAGAAAACAAGTTTATTATTACATTTCAAGGCAGCATACGCCTCTGAAAGCATCAATGCAAAAGCTGGAGATTTGATAAAAAACTGCAGGCCTATCTTAAGACTACGTGGTAACTTTCTTAATCCATGTCTATTTAGAGAGATGAATTCACATCTCCTGTTTAAGAAAGAAAATACATACTCAGTATGTTTAATATCTATGAATACTGCTTAAGGTGCCTCTGTGAAATGAAGAGAGATCAAAAATAGGTAGCTCTGGTGACAAGAAAGCTGTCCTTCCCTCCTTGAACTTACTCCTCATTGTCTTTAGGGGAAATCTCAACTAAAGGCAAATTCTAGGAAGTGTCCTGAAGACCGACATTGCTTGGAAATTTCGCTGCCACGTTGTAGTTTCTCTTCATTCTCTCGAAGCTGTGCTCCCCATCATGTAACCAAGCTTAACATAATATTAAAAATTAAACATCAGAGACATTCACTTACAAGCAGTTATTCCAGCAAACATCTCAGCAAATCTAGGATCTCTCTCTTGGGAGAAGATAGCATCAGGCTTTTCCACAGACTTTCCACCCTCATGAACATTAGCTGGTATACTTGGAACAGGCACCTGTTGTGATACACAGAGGAAGGTAATTCCCTCCATCATATTTGACGAAAAGGAATTCAGGGACAATCACAATGTATTTTTAATTTTGCTAAAATCTGCCATTGCTTTACATTTTAAAAGATCAGAGGCACAAAAATAAAAACTTGAGAAATTGCACCTGGGATAAGTCATAGGATGACAGCCCATCTCTTTGATGTACTTCAAGTTCTGCTTGCTGCTGCTGAAGTTGTCTGCAAAGGAGACAAAATTACAAAAACCAATTAAGATACAAAAAGGAACAGCCATGGTCTCCTATTTTATACTCTAAGCGAAACATCTCTCAAATAATTTATTAAATCCTTTCCTGTGAGATTCATCTGTTTTTAAAGCTTTCTAATTGAGAAAGCTTGCACCACAGGAATGTAACGGTCACATGAAGAGTTTTGCTGTAATAGCACAGAAATGTAGGTGGGTAAGTAATAGGGGATGGAATATAACCTCCTTATAAAGGATTTAAGAATTCACTACTAAGACACCAAGAATGTCTTCCTCCTGTTAACAATTAATATACCAGACCCCTCCACTGATCCTACTGAAGTAAACAAGAAAACTCCAGTAACGTTAACGCAAAATTATGCCAGTCAATAAGAAAATATGATCAAGCTCTGTCTGAAGCACGTCAGACCAAATGGAACAACCTGTTGAGCTTGAAAGAACTGCATATAAATCCTTCGCTGTAATAAAACCTATTTAACATGCTTTGATTCTACTCTCCTCAGGATCCAAGTCCAGATTCTATTAAATTTTTGAAAGCTTTTAAGGCAGTGAATGTCCAGAAATAAATTGCTTGTGCTACTATATAAAATCAAGACATTACATAAAATCAATTTGTGTTGACAAATGCTACAGAAGACACAACTCTCCTTTTCATGCTAATCAGAACTGAACAAAAAATATCCGTTGTTTAAATGAGATAAAAATCACTGGAAGTAATAGCCTTAATCCAATTATATGAATTTAGGAAAAATTAAATGTGCAGCAGCAATAGAAAAATAGTTCAAAAGAAACTGTCAGATCTAATGAACGTTAGGGACCATATACCAGAATGAAGAACTTTAGTGTTGAAAACTCTGCAGATCCTTGAAATGCTGATTTGTGTTTAGTGTCAGGCACTGTTACTTAACTATGACAATTAGCCAGTATCAACAGATAAAAGCATTGGAAGTCATGAGAATTAACTGACAGGTGACCTGTAGGGACAGCATGCAAGTGGTAGGAGGTCAGGCATATCCACCTTCTACATGTGCAAATATTGCCTATTTATAAAAATGTCCAGATCTTTTACATAGTTGTAATGTATCTAGCACAGTGATCTTATGAATCCATTCTTCACTTGCTTTTTTTAATTCTGAAAGGACACAAATTCAAAGCTCCTAATTTAAAAAAAAAAAAAAAAAATCAGAGACTGTTAAATATTAATTGCTGCTATTGGAAATTTTGAAGTTACTGTAACAAAACAACTTCTACACAAAAAGCCACTGTGCAGTACATTTTATTAGAAATAAAACCCAATCCTTCTGAAATGAAAGGCAAAAGTGCTACTGATGCATTAAAACCAGAATTTTACCATTAAAATGTGAACTTGTGCTTTCTTGTTTGGACTTACACCATCCCCACGTTGGGTCATTAGGAACCTCACTTGTCTGAGCATAGGTTTGTGTGGTTCTTTGCAGACAGACAAACCCAGCTTTGTCCCAACACCGAGCTGGAACGGCAGAGCACGAGAGCCACATGATCCTGGCAGCACAGCGCTGGGTTTGAGCTGTGCCCAGGCTGTAGCCTGATCAAGCAACAGCCCTGAACAGCACGGCCACAGCATCACCTTCACTTCACAACTTCGTGTTGAAAGCAGCTTGCAGCCGACAGGCCGGGTGATACGCAGGCAGAACAACTTGAGATTTCCCTGTAAAAAGGAAAGGCTCTGCCGTGGCCCTTGTCTGAAGAAGCATCACTGCCATGGAGAAGGCAGAGTCCCTTGCTATGGCATGGGCCAATACCACGAAGGGCACTGAACCAGTCTCTAGGGTGAAGCTGGGAGCTTGCTGGCATTGCAACATCTCAGGAAAGACTGTCTGTGTAATGACAAAAACACTCAGCAGCTGCAAAATTATCTAAACATTTTGCACATTCCATTAACAGTTGCTCTCTGTCGCTTGGTCACAATTAGCAAGATTACTTCTGGCCTGAGGATGCGCAGACCTCTGTAAGGCTCTTTGCTCAGTTAGCAAAGATGATATAAACACCCCCAAATTATGCAAAAGCTCAGAGATTAGGGTAAGATTGGAGTTGGACTGACAAGGAAGCAAGCTTAATACTTGCAAATGATACTTGACAGTGGTCACAGTTTCTGTATGCTTCTCACCTCTTTCTGAAGGAAAAATCACCTAACGGACAGGAATTACACACCACGTGGGTTTTCCCCCAGAGGCACTATAATGTGTCAAGCGGTAATAGATGAGACTTTGCAAAACAGCAAGATCATGGATTTGAAACTCTGGAAAATTAGCATACATTTTTGGCCACAGGTTTGAATTTTAGATTTTTATCCAAATCTTCTTTTAAATTTTGAACTAGATAGATTCAAATGTCTAGGGACTGAGAGACAAAGTTGCAGACAAAGTCCAATGACAAATTAGGCACAAACTGATGGGAATGTGAGGGACCACTCAATGAAGTAAGTAACAGATTTTTCCATCCCTTGATGCTTTTCCAGAAGACACTTTGCCCAGACACCAGTTTCTAGGCTCCATGGCAAACTGGACAAAAATCTGTGACCTGCAACAAACAGAAGATCGGAGTAGATGGCCAAAAGCCTTCTACTAGCCTTATGGTATAAGAACACATAATACACAGAATCACTTTTGTGCTATGGGTAACATGCAAAAAACCTCAGTCCTCCAGGTCATTAGAGCGCCACGGATTTTCCACATTATTTTAGCCAACAGAAAATTCCTAAAAATTACCTCTGGAATGCATAGAAATTCTTTGTTCGCAAGCATAAAATGCATACTTTTCCAACAGAACCATAGGAGGTAATTTAATCATGGCAAATCTATGGGGAAGTTTTTCTAAATACCACCCCGTGGACAATAAACACCCATTAAATCCTGTTGTTAACGTGAAAGCTAATTACACTGTTTCATTTGTTTTTATTACCAACGACTTGGTGCGTGTGTCAATAAACAGCACATTAGGTCTCTTCTGTTCCGTAGAAAGTATGTTTTCTTGATTCAGCCATATACATACAAATGAGCCAAACAAAACAGCATACTTACTAGTTATTTGTTTTGTAGGCACTTCTAACTTAGTGCTCCTTCGCCCTTCTCTATCTTTCATCTCTAATACTCGTTAAGCTGCACTACAATATAAATACCACATTGTGTTAACAGCACTGAACTTTGGGAACAAACTCCCAAATCCATTTCCTATAAAAACCAAATACTTAAGTGTATCTTCACTGAACTCTGTGCAAGCTATGCTGCACTTAATTAAGACTGAAATGTAAAGCCAGGTTAGCATCTTCTGTTGTTTGCTGCTACTATATAAATAGTTCAAATGATGCTTGAAACCTGAAAGAAACTGTGCCGCAATTCATGGACCAGCCGACCAGGGAGAGCCGAGCGCTGCCGTCGTGGTTGCTTCAGACCTTGCCATCTAATCAGCCCTTTTGACTGAACAGTCAACACATGCAGGTCCCTCCAGTCACCCAATTGCTGGATCGTTTTTGTAAAGATAATACAAAACAAGAGCATATTATCAGTTTGGGCAAAACTCAAACTGTCTTCTGACTTTGAAACCGAAACCCAAACGATCCTTGGTTTCAATTTCAGTTTCACAGCTTCAAGGAGTAAATGAAAGAGAGATTTCCTGGTTCTACAGGATACCCAACACAGCAAGTAAGATATCGTCTGGGTCAACAGAGGACTCCGCTTGTACTGCAAGAACTCCTGGCTCACCCTCAGGTTTGGTATGAAACTGGGAAAGCCGTTGGCTTGAACAAGGAATGGTTCAGTGAATCTGAAGGTTTTGATAGTTAATTCAAATTACTTCAGTAAATGTATTTGGAGGAAAAGGGAAGATTCTGTGAAAGTTCCTTTGACATTGGAGAGTATATCAGCCAAATTAATCTCTCTCTGTAAACACTGAAGTCACCTGTTCCTTTTCCAGGCATCAGAGTAACCAGAAAAGGATTTGAACTTTAAAATTAACAGTCTACTGTTAAACAACACTACTGTATCCCTACCAAGCTATTGTTATTTAATAAAGACACACGTGCTTCCTGTGTCTGGTTTGGACAAAAAGAGAGTAATAAAAGCCTTGGGGCTGCCGTTGTAAAGTCCTCTTTCAGAAACTCTCAAAATCTCCCTCTTTTAGCCTAGAGTTTCAAAGTCACCCCTGTGAAAGGGTCTGTCTTACGCTGGCCTTGAGGGATCAGATAGCCCACAGATGGCACGGGGATCATGAGAAAGTAAGTCTTTAGCACCACTACCATAGACGGGAATTTTATCAGAATAGTTGATCTCTTTAGTATTTTGGCCCATGAGAATCCGAAACAGAAAGCATCTCTCCCACAAGCGTGGGCTGATTCATCCGAGAGGCTGCCTCCAGCAGCGACCTGTGCCAGCTCACCCCGAGACAAGAATGTTGAGACTCAGGACAACTGCAGGATTCATAAATGCACGCAGTGCAACATAGGACTTTGGGGCTTACAAAAATGAAACATCAAAATTTCCATAAAGGTCAGAAAAATATCTTTCTTCTATGTATACAAAGACTTTTATATAGTTTTATCTATCACCATGACAGATTATTTTATTCAAACCCTGCTCTATGTGTATGTTAAATAAACATTGATCACAATAATTATTTCTTTTTTGAAATCAAACAGTCCCAGCTACACAGGAAGATGTGGTCAAACGGGGGAAGTCTTCTTTTCGGCCGAACCCAGCACAAATGCTGAACGTTAAATGCTTCATTTCTCCAGGAAGTTTCTCTTGGATGACTACACCCAAATGAAACTGAGAGCAGTTTTCTTTTCTTTTTTTGCAAGGAACTAAGTGAACATTTGAACCTACTGTTTCGTTATCCTTCCGCACCAAAAGCAAGTTTGGAAAGTTGACTGTTTGAAGCTCCAAAGGAGTGAGTACCTTCTTAAAAAAAAAAAAAAAAAAAAAAAAGAAAAAAAAAAAAAAAACAAAACAAACCAAATCAGCAAAAAAAAAAAAAAAAATTAATCCCTTCACAACTGGAACCTCCGCTGCCCTCTACAGTCTTTTGGGAAAATGCTATTGACTGATCAATGCACAATGAGAGCTATTCTGTTAACAGACAGACACACAGATGTACATACTGTGGCTTTAAACTATCCTAAGTTAAAAACTGATTCAAACCTAGAACTTTTGGCTACATTGTCTTTACAATTTCATCATGAATTTTTAACTGCCTCAAACCTGTATTTTATGGAGCTGGCTAGGTTATCACAGCAACAGACAAATCAAAACCTGTCTCTGTGCAAAACTGCCTACAACTGCGCAGTGGAAGGCACCCCTGCTTGGTCTCCACGTGAAGCACTTTGCAGGACTCAGAGCATCTGATACTTCCACTGACACGTAAAGATGGCCACATACACTGGCGTCGGTGCCGAACATCTAGCCCCAGCAGGAGCTGAATGAGGAGGTGGAAATCAACAGTCACCATGACGTACAACTCTGCAACCTAGGAAATCAGAAGTCAAAACATGACCCCAAATGTGCAAAAAAAAAAAAAAAAAAAAAAAAAATTCCAGAAACAGGCAGGAGCAGCAGTACATTACAGTAAGACCTCTTTGGAAATCTGTCTGAGAAGTGGGAGAGAACAGGGGGAAAACCAGAAAACAGTTTGAATAATGAATTCTTTCTACTATTCAAAAGCAGATGTATAATGGGTTGTATCTTGCCATAAGACTAGAACATTTTCTACATGACAGGAAAGAGGGAACATCCTCTGTCAAAGTAGCAGCAGGCAACTTCCATATTAGGTCAACATTTCTGGGTTGCTATTCAAACCTAGCAAGAGAGATATAACAAGAGCCAGAAGCTGGCACAGTCCTATTCATCACAGCAAGTGCTGCGATGCCAAGCTGAACAGTATAGGGGAGGCTCGGAAAAAAACATTCCCAGAGTCAACACAACATAAGTCAACAGCCCCCACTTTTGATCTGTGGACTCTTGGGAACAAAGCACAGTTAAGCCAGCCTGGGACAGATTTCAGAAGTCGCTTTTTATTTTGCAGGCCTGTTTCTGCATATACAAATTATTTGGAAAAGAAATATGGGACAGCAGAAATGTGGAAATATCTATTTTGATGCACAGTGCAGACAGGGAGATATTTAGCTGTCTGATTTCAAGACACATTTGCTTGTTTTCAATGAACTTAACTATTCAGTTGTTTAAGCCCAACTTTTTGGGTATGCAGAAAAAACTGAGCAAAACAATTGTGATGCTGGGTTTCAAGTGAGTGAAAGCACAGCCCTTCTAGTCCAGGTATCTGTCATGTCCAAAGGAGCAAGTCAAGGAACACTCAGAGACACTTACTAGCTTTCTAAGTTCAAATGCCAAAGCCCCAGGGGTTTGGTTTTGCAAGTGGAGCTCTCAGCATGCATCTCCACTAGTAGACTGCTCATTCAGCATTTCCATTATACAATCTAACAGGTTGAGATCTTAAAACCAATAATTTCCTCTGAGCTAAAAACTTGGCAAAAGAAATCTTTGGTCAGACCAGAAGCAGATTTTGTTTTAGAAATAGATAAAGTTTATATTGGAAAGAAGAAATATTTATAAAAAACCCACACACTATAAAGCAATGGCTTTATCAACGCCAGATTAGCTTCTGTAGTTACTGGCTCAGAACTCAGGAGGCTCCAAAAGCATCTCCACTCAGTTACACAGTGACAAACCTCCACTATACTCCTAGGATGACCTTCTCCTAAGAGGTCCAATGACAGATTTTTGAAAATATTAATTCAAAGACAGAATGATTTAATTTCCCTCGTAAGATAAGGGGTTGGATCTGTCCCCATACTTGGGGATATTCCACCAGATCTTAATTGAGTTTCGGGAACCCTTCCCACTCAAGCCTACTAGGAAATAATTTTGTCCACTTTCACAGGCTGTAAAAGTAGACACAGCTCAAGGAGAAGACGCCCAGGACTACGGAATGGCATGATCATAATGAACACAATTTTTTCTTTGGCTTAGGAATCAGGCTAACCTTCCTCCTGTATCAGGACAGCTGGTCTGCTGCTGGAAGCTCTGTGCTAGTTTAAGGCAGCCTGAACTGCGATCAATGGGCTTGTCTAATGACATAAGAGATAAGTGATGTTTCTCCCCCAGTGCAGCCAGGCCCTGGAAGCATCACAAGATAATGACACAGAGAAACAGATATGCTGTGAGATCTCATGACGCAGAAAAACCCTGTTACAGACTGTATTGTTACAGAGAAACAAATGTAGCTAGAAACAGGCTACAGCAAAAAGCAATGCTTAAATTCTTTCAAAAAAATTCTTTCAAAGCATCTGGAAAGGCACATACTTTACATTAGTGTTGGTGCAGATGATGTATTCAATCTCATCGGAATAAGGATTCTGAAACGTGAAGCTGCTGGTTCTGATCAGCATCCATTCCCGGTTTTTGGTACGAAAACGATACATCACAGATAGGACTTGACCTTTCAGTTTCACAACCTGCAAAACCATTTGGAAACATTAATAAAAGGAGATTGCTACCTGCTGTGCAAACGTATAGTAAACAGCAGTAACTGCTGTGTTTTAAACTTGAATTACAGAAAGCTATGAACACAGCACGGAGATTCTTAATTTGAAGAGAATCAGCAAAATCTGATTCATGTTTGCAGCTATTGCCAGAAACCCTCACGCTTTGCTGTATAAAATGCCATTTTACAGCCTACATGTAAGAAACACACAGATTCAGGACAACCAACAGGTTGTGCTGTTATCCCAACAGGGAAGTTTTAAGAAAGCTTTAACGTGGAACACTTATCGAGAGATTGAAAGAAACCAAACTGAGGATCTTTTAAATGTTTATATGTAAACCATAAACTAAACATTGCAGCTGAAACAAAAGCCCACAAGAAAAAACATTTTGAGGTTGACTATCTGCTTTTCTGCTTGGATACCCAGCTATACAATTCATATACGTGATATACCAAATCACACACCAGCATCAAAATTTAGGATAATACTTAAGAAAGTAGTCTTTTTTTAGGAACCATACGTGGTTGTTTTGGGCTTTTTTCCCAAACACATTATAAGACCATCTACGATGGCAAAGTGCTAACAAGAAACACTTGCTTCTGCCTTTCAAAACAAGAGAGAGTGAGCCAGCCTTTGAATGGAGAGAATACCAAAATAAGCCACTGTCCATTTTAATAGTATTAATGAAAAAAGAGAGCAAATTCTTTGCTTGGACAACCTATTTGTTTATAACTAAGAATTCAGATGTCTGGCAATACTTAGTTCAAATTCTGTCTTTGGTAGCTGAAGTTTTGTTGAAGCCAACAGTTGGGCATCAAGTGAGAAGTAAGAAGCAGCCAGCTAAAGAAGTACGCTCAAAACAATACTTGCACACTGGCACTATAACTGCATTTTATGTGTTATCCAACAATCTTGGTTTAAGTCAGAAGAAAACTTACATGGTTTCAAGTCATTCAGCTGGCACTTACCTGGGCTATCTGTGTTTATTTTTTATGGCTTTTCCACCAAGCTATCTGAGGGGTGCCTCAGGGAAGGAAAGGGAAGGTCTACTGCAAATAAATGCCACATTTCATTGTGGATTCTTAAACCTTATCCACTGGAATTTATTTTTTATTAGCTATCTGCAGCCCGTATTCTCTAAAAGTAGAAAACCCAGTATTTACCTTCTGTCTTTATTGACAAGCAATTGGATCAGGAAAAATGACCCAATGCTGTTTTTTCCGAAGGTCTGCATTTCAAATTGACCAATTGGATACAGGATTAAATGGAAAGAATGCAAATAGAAGACACAAAAAACTTTAGCAATACCCGGGAAAGTTCAAAATAATACTGAGGTAAATGCGTTTTGGTTTTTTTTTAAATGCTTTTGTAGTTTGAGTTCAGTGAGTGACATTCTTTTATCAGCAATTTTCTACTACCACACCCAGGGTAAAAAACACAGAGCTGTGTAAAAGTGTCCAATCTGAATAGCATCCTACTGGATATCAAAAAGCTGTATTCTGGCTCCTTTGATACTAAACTCTATTTGTTGATCTTGGCCTTGGGTCTATCTTATTCTGGCCTGATTTTCCCATCCTGATGAATGAATTTATCTTCCCAAGGAAGTAAAGCTTTGAGATGGATACTGGCAATTGACCAAAACCTGCAAACCCCTCCCTCCCTCCTCTGTTATGCACCAACCTGGTTCTGATACTGTCAGCAAATTAGAAATGTCAAGTTTTCAGAGGGTTTTAGAAAAAAAGAGAGTTTATTGGAAATCACAGTTACCTTTTTAATGAAAATGTTTCTAAGGCCCAACTAACAATAATAAAACAAACTGCAGTGATCTATTGTCCTGAAGACTAAATTACGCAAACACTGATTCTGTAATAATATATAAAGCATAGAGATTGCTGGTGGGAAAATCCTGAACCGTCTTAAAACAGTGCACACAAACAAGATAGCACAGAAAATTTCAAAGCTAATGTTTAACCTTTACTTTCTTACATTCTTTGGAAATAAAAACCACCTGGTGCATAGCTTAACTGTTTACTTCAGTCTTTTATTGCATGATTGAAATAACAGCCCCAATCACACTGCTACTGTACTGAACAAAAATATACCGAAAAAGGAATTGCTTACTAAAGAAACAGCACAATATTTTCATAGATTGGACACAGGTCGAGTGAACAGGAACTTTCACTTCTAATCTGCATTTTTTCTTGCTGTCTTTTTGTATGACCTTAAGCAAATCATGTAGGTCCTCATCCAGCAAATCATTTATGCACATGCCTAACAGTGAGTAGTGACAGTGAAGTCCCCAGCAATTGAGTTCAGGGATACACCAGCAGCCTCCCACGGCCTGATCTCACTCTCAGTGAACACAGTGAGGACTGAGTCATTAACTTGAATGTTAGTTAGTCAGCCCTTCTGAGCCCCAGGCAATCACTTCAGAGACGGACGTTTGATGTGTTGTTATCCAGCAGCTCTCTGTCATTTTGTCTTGGATAAACCAGTGAAATCAACCATTTGGGCATTAGTGAAAAACACCATATGCATTCTTGCTGCTCTTCTTGTGCCACTGATGCGATCAGGCACAAGTTCATAGAATCATAGAATAGTTTGGGTTGGAAGGGACCTTAAAGGTCATCTAGTCCAACCCCCCTGCTGTGGGCAGGGACATCTTCAACTAGATCAGGTTGCTCAGAGCCCCGTCCAACCGGACCTTGAATGTTTCCATTCAGGGAGCTGAAGCAGCTGAAAGCTAGTCCCGCGCAAAATGGGATTAGTCCCTTAGCTAGCCTACCTGGCAAGTCCATCTGTGCTAGTATCAGGACAGTAGGAAGAGTAGGGAGGAGGTCAGAGGAGAGAAGAAGTGGGAGCAGGACCTGACTCCTGGTGACAGCTAACCATGGGGTAGGGTCAGCTGCAGTATCACACCCCCAACCAAGGTGGGGCAGAAGATGACTGGGTGTGGTGACCTATTTCAAGCATCTAACTCTCACAGGCTCCAGCCTGTGAATCAGCACCTTGAATTTAAAAGGACTTTAGCTGCTGTTTGAACTCTGTCCATTCAAGGGACACTGAAGTGGATGCAGAGTGCTCACACAGTCTTTTCTGCTAGCTCAGCAGTGGGGTTGGTAGTCTCCGCTTGAGGCGGGGGGGAGTGGCGAGAAATAGCTCAAGAGTACTGATGTCTTATGTTATCTCAAGACACTTCCGTAGAGACCATAACCTCAATCTCCACTATCTCAGACACTTCCGTAGAGACCATAACCTCAATCTCACAATCTATTCTATGGACATAGAACAGCATTTAGTTGTTTTCCCCAGAGAGGCTTTTCAAGCTCCATTTCTGCATGCCATGCCTGAATAAATAGTTGGCTATAGAAATTATTCTAGAAGGCACTTCATATCCACATTTCACAGCTGAAAATACATCTCAGCATCCAATGCAAGATGGATCAACAAAACTTGGTTGAGCTATAGGCTGTTGTCAGAAAATCTGGAACCACTTAGATCATCTGAACCCAGTAATCGGTTAAACATACCACACTGTGCTTTCTAGTGCAGTAGGGAAGGCGCTGAAAAGACCAGCAACAAGCAGAAGGCTTGGGGAAAGCAATCCTGCTGTATGTCCCAGATCAATTTGAAACAATAATCTCTACAACGGAATAAATGCCTTTGATATAGTTGATGTAAACGTGGCCCACTGTAAAAATGAAGCCAGATCAGTAACTCTTTCCATATGTTGCATACCTTTTGTTACTTCTGTCTGCATTTCAATTCCTAATAGGGAGAAGGGCCAAATTCTCTATTGATTTAAGGTGGTGTAACTCCAGTAAAGTATGAAGCATGTCATCTATGCCAGCAGAGAATTTAGGTCATAAACAACCCAGCATTACAGAGGAGTGTAACTGCTTTCAAAACAACAGCCCACCTTGGAAGGTAAATACTTTCGGTTACCACTTAACATAGTGGGATCTACACAGGCACCTCCAAAACAACTCTAACTGCAGCGAACACTCATTTATTTTTTTGTAAAAAGAAAAAAAAATGTATAACTAGGTGACTTATTTCTGAAAACACAGCAAACAGATGCTGCAGTTTAAACTACCATTTATGCAGCTTAACTGATTAATAACTGATCAACAGATTGTTTCGTATCTTGCTACTCCTTCTGCATAACAGAAAAATACCTTGAAATGAAAAATAAAAGCTACTTTTCTGAACAAAATAGAAACAAAAATAATAAATAAATGGCAGAAGAAAAGGAGCAGGACACAGCACCTGTTGGAAACTCTCCCTCAAATGGCTTTGATCTTCAGGATGGCAGAATTCTAAAATATCTTTCCCCAGAAGATCCTAGAATAAAACACAAAGCTGTGTAAAAAACCCAAACCACAACACAAATCCATGTGCAGATCTGCAAGTAATCCTTGCAGACACTACATCTAACACCCTTAATGGGACTACTCAGTTAATCGGGGATGAATCATACAAACAAGGTTTGTAGGCATCATGTCCCAAATTATATTTGTACTGTTGCATAGATACATGTATTTACAAACAAATTTTAAGTGATTTTTTTTAATACCTGTGAAATGGTCTTGAAAAGACTGACATCCTCTATTACAGCTCATTTTATAGCACTGATTTTTGTAAAAACAGTTATTACAAAGCTACCTAAAATCAAAACAAATGGCAAAAACAAATGAGCAAGAAATTATTTCTGCCTCTAAATTGCAACTGCTGAGAGTCATCCAAGGGAGAGCTGTGGTAATCAGGAGTTCATTTACTACTCTACTCAGTTCTGTGACTAGCCTCCTATTCAGAGGAGCAGATGTAAGCCTGAAGGAAAATAGATGCCATAAATGATGTTTGCTTACTGTTCAATAGATTGGCAGAAGTAAAGATCTACAGGACTAAAACTCCCTCCAAGCACTGTTAACTCTCTACCACAGAAATGTCTTCACTGGAAAGCTGTGCGAGGTTTAAAGCACCTTGCTGTTAGAATTCTAGTTGGATCTAAAAGGTATAAAAAGATACCCCACATAACAAAGGGGAAAACTGTAAATTTTACAGAGGTATGGACAGCAAAGAAAAATGAACAGCATTTAGTGCACGACATATGAATTATCAGCTACAGATATTTAATGTTTTGCTGCTTCTGTTTTTAATGCACAAATAGAATTTTCTTCATTAGCTCTAACCAGTCTCTGCATCTACAGCGACTCACTGACCTGGGGCTGGTAGCCAATGACGCTGATGCACCTTGGGTCGACGAAGGTGATGACCCCATCAGAGTTGTGCCTAGACAAGAACTCAGTTGGGACCGACATGCCATTCATGTCCATGCACACTGGAGAGCTGGTTACCTACGACCAGTGAAGTCCACAGCATTTAGTCCACAGAACAGTCACATTTAGCTACGCAATCAAATTTGACTTAAGAACAAAATCTGTTGGCAGAGTGCTAACTACTGAAGGAAGCCGTAAATAAAACAACAGCACAGATAAATGATCCAGAACAGCCTTTTAGTCTAGTTTGCAGGGCAAATATCTCACCCCATGGGACCTACCTAGGCTTAACAGCACAGCAGGAAAACAAATACACCAGAAGTTCCCAAGAAGGAGGGATATAGTAAGGATACAAGTACAGCTGGATTCATCTCACTTTGTGGCACCATATTAAAGTTAGGCATCTTGGTTCCTACCTTTGTCAACCAAGAATGAGAGACTTGCAGAGGACCAAGGTAGACTTCAGTCCACCCATTTTAAGATAGGAAGGTCAACCTCTAGAAGAGGCCAACTCATTATCTGTAGACATATCCAATAGGACCAGCTCAGACTAAACACTCAACTTTCAGGTGAGATGAACCTCACCTGCAACACCCTGAGAACCTGAAAAAAGTTCTCCAGAGGTTGAGGTAGGTGATGTTAGGCCAGCAAGTGGCTGCTTATAATGAAAAAACACAGTCCTCCTATAAATGCTCCTCAAATCTCATCAGAGAGAATGACGCATTTCCAGCTCTCTGCCTGAAACCTGTGCAATCAGGCCACTTCATATCCATTCATTCCTACTGGGGCTACAAGTAAGACCATTGTTTTTCTTACAACTTCCAGAACTATCTCTGTTAACAAGGTCCCAATGCAAAAAGAGCAAAATCTCATTTTTTTGCTGTCTTGAAGCAGATTAGCCAGTTAACTGTATGCAAGATTTCAATTTGCTGTTACAGAACAGAGTTTTTAATTTGTGCACCTTGACTCCTTTGTAATTAAACCCATCCACAGAGCCTCCTCTTGCCCTCCCTCATATACCCTGCTGGCTCTTTTAACGTAACAGATGTTTTGACACTTCACATGTTACTAATGTGATCTTCTTGGAAATCATCTTTCTTTGGCAGCTGTAACATATGAATCCCCATAACTTCCTTCTCTCCATTAATGGAATATATTACCCTTTATTATAAAAGCATGATCTTAAAAACCATCATGCAATACTTTTGTAGCTCTTCCATTGCAATGGAGACACACTCAGCAGATGTGCTAACACTTGTAGTAACGTGCAGGCTGTTTGCCTCAAATAAGATGGGTTTGGCACCTGTGCTCTAATGAAAGGGTCATTCTACCTTGTAAAAACGAGCAATGCCATCCTAGCAGATGGCAACGAGTGCAGGCCAACAGGAGATCATGCAGGAGGCTCAAAGACATTCACCCATGGCAGAATTCCCAGACTGGGAAGATAAAAATTAGCCTCCCTGCTGCAGTGAAGGAGACTCACCACCACTGCTCTAATTCCTGCTCAGAACTCTTGTCAGCAATGGACAAAGGAAGAAAATGTAAAACATCAATTGCAACTGTCTGGACAAAAAGGAAGTAAAATTTTATTCTCACAGTTCCCTTGGCTGACATCACATCTGAATGCACATTACAATACACACTGAAAATAAAGCTGTTATTTGAGAAGTGCCTCTTGACTGCCTTATCTTTACCATTTTCACAGTAACTCCTGCAATCACAGTTTCTCAAGTAGTTGATTAGCCAGAGAGAGAGAACAAATTAAAGAATAGCAGGCAGCATATCACTGGCTTTGGGAACCACTTTAACCTACCATCTGCAGCACCTGCACTTCCACATTTCTCACAATCTAGAATATCCCAGCCCTGTGCACCCTAGAGAATAGCAGGTCTGTACATGCTCATGTTCCAGGACCATCTTTACCACTGTTGTTTGGTTAAATACACACATGCACCAAAATCACATTTTCATTTTGCTCTGTTGACATGTTCTAAACAAGTCCTGCCCACGGCAGTGGAATTGGAACTAGATGATCTTTAAGGTCCCTTCCAACCCAAACCATTCTATGATTCAGTAAGTCACTGGCTGCACACCGACATCAAGGCACTTTGTATTTTATAGGCATGTTAGAAGTTACAGTCTAGTACCAGAACTTTGTACAAATCCTTTACAACTAAACCACAACACCAATTACACTTTCAGAAGTAGTTTGTGTAAGGAAAGACCGGCATTACCTGAAGCCTTCCTATTGCCACGAGGCAATATTTACTACCTTGTCCCACATCAGCGTCTTCTTCTGGTATAGTCATTCCTAAAGGAAATGATAAGAAATACTGTTATAATAGTAAATTGGGATGAGCAGAGATGCTGCTGGCCTGGTTCTATACTATTCTAGATGCTCTAAATCATACAAAATAACCTTATTGCCTTATTAATGCATTATCTCTGGGTTCAGATCAGATGATCTTTCTCAGTCGTGCTCGATCCTACATACCTCACATGCATATACAGTACCCACAGCAGCTATTTTGGCTGCCGAAGACAGCAGATACAAAAATTCCACTATACACCGAGATGGACAATAACATTTCCATGAGTACTTCTCCACAGCATGTTACCAGAACCATGTGGTCACTTAATATGTCCAGTGAATACACACTATGTTCAGTTTTCTTTGTGAATAATATATTATAACAAGCCTTAAAAAGCAGGCACAGCCTAGATTTTTCATTAACTTCGTGCTCATATTTAACAGCTGGTTTTACTTTTTTCTATAATGGACTAAATCTGGGTCGTTACGTTGGAAGATTGAAAAAATGCGAATGCTTTGCTAACAGTGCTTGTTTCAGTTGTGTAACAGGAGTAACTACTATAAACACAAGAAATGATTTCAAAACATAGATGTGTACTGATTTCCATCTCAGTGTTTCACAAATAGGAACATTCACATTAGCTCTGTTTACTTGCTGGTTGGCTAGGCCTTTAGTTAAGGCTATTTCCCAACTTCAGTTTTGAGATACCAATTTCCTACAAAGCACTTGAAAAAACATCTTCCAAGAGTGACACTGCTGACTTATTTTAAGTGATTAGTAAACTCTTTCACAAGGCTTTTCAAGGAATTCAGTCACAACAGGCAGTGAATCATTTAAGAGGAACTTTAAAGCATTAATGAAATTAATTGCAAAGCAGCTACCAATTATGAAACAACAGCCACTTTATTCTCAAAATTTGTAATTCCCAATGTAAGTCAATCTTTGGACCGTGCAGAGGATGACAGCATACAACTTTCTTAAATGATGCCCCTGAAAAATGATTATAAATGCTGCTGAATGAACTGAAGTGGTCTCTGAAGGAAGTTCTTTTGTATCAAAATAATTGAATCTTATCTGACAATCAGTTTCTAAATAGCACCCTACAGGTATTTTTCATTGAGCTATACAATAGCTATACAATAAAATAAAATATACAAAGTATGAAAGAAAAAAACCTGTATTTTTGTATAATATGTTCAAACTTTATTTGCAATGGAATTCACAATTTGGGGGGCCTAACTTCATTTGCAGCCCTGAACAGATAACTAGGATTTTATCAGGGGATCTCAAGAGCTTTACAAAGGAAGAGCATTGTTGTCCCTTCTAACAAGTGGGAAATTGAGGTGCAGTACAAACTTCAACAACAGGTGGGCAAAATCCCCTTGTCTTCTACACAATGATCTTACTATCCAGAGACACAAATTTGGCCCTAAGTAACTCCTTAGCTTTTAAACCTATGTGATATCCCTCACCAAATGCCAGGATACTCCTCTGAAATACTTTCTTAGAAGCTGTATGAGAAGATCAAGGTGGCAGTATGTGACCTTATGAGTGCATTTTAAGAAATCAATCATTAAACACATAAGTTAAAAATAATACTGGAAGGAAGGAATCGACACATGTTATTTTTCATTTAAACATTATTTTGTACTTATTTTGTTATAGGGACCCAAACTTTCACTCGAGATCCTTCACCTGATTTAGAACATCCTTGAAATGAAGACAACCTGCATGTACCCTCCCTGTGGGACTGTTCTGCACTGCCTGCAGTTTATCAGTTTATCCTTCAAGCAGTTAAATTACAGAGCATTGTTTTGTTATTTCACACGCTGCTATTCATGTCTCTTTCCTGTTACACACCAGGCAAACAACAAACAAGAGCCCCAACACAAGTAAGTCCCATGCTCTGAGACACCAGCATACCACGGAGAGCATAAACCACTGACATGAAACTACAGTTAAGAGATTCATATTACAGAAGTATTTTGTTTTCCTTCCTTGCTGTGTTTACACACAGTTATTTCTTCAATACAAGACTTAGTAATTAGCTAATGACAGCTCCAATAGGCAAAGGAACTGAATTTGGCTGCCTCTTGAGAAAAAGAGAGAAAATTACCCTGAAAAAGCAGCAGCAAACATATCTAGTCAAAACTGTGTCCACTTCAGACAAAACTTTGGCAGACACATGGCTGCTCTCTGCTCACATACATGTGGGATGCCCAGAAGGGTGAGCTCCCAAAACTAAACCTAGACTCCTCCACATTAGCAATTTTAATTTTAAATAGGTAGAAAATGGTTAACTGAGAATTGTGTGCCGCTTGCAGGGGATGATAACTGGAATCCAGCAGTTTCACCTTACAAAGTGGTGACTAGAGGTGTGAACTGAAAGCGGGACAAATTAAATGATGCAGCATTTTAGGATGGAGCATGCGGATGCTGACTCTGCTGCAAAAGAAATGCAGCAGTGTACAAAAACAACCACAGGAAGAAAGCAAGCACGGGAGCAACAGAAGAGTTGACCTAACACTTTGGCTGGAAGACGGCAGCAGGGACTGCATCCCTCCGGGAGATGGATGAGGAGTCTCTCACCCCTCAGTCCTGAACTCCGCACCAGGGCAAACCTGCAAGTTCACCCATCAGCCGAAAGAATAAACATTTTAAAAGCTGGTGCCTGAAGCAATCACGGTTACATTCAGACAGCTCAGTACAGGTGGTCTGATTTCAAAGATGGTGAGTGATTCTAGGTCCTACCACCTTCGGAGGATTTTCTTGGTGGATGCCTGGTACTTCTGAGAATTAGGCCACTTAAACACAGGGGCCTAAGTGCTGTTTGAAGGAAATTATTCTAGGCATTCTAGTTGGATAACCTTAACCAAAAGGTCCCTTTAAAATGGAGTTTTCCATTTGAGAAGGACAAATTTAAAGCCTTTTCCCTTGACTTCAAAAGCTTTTTCAATCGTTTCCTTAGCGGCACAGTGTATTGCAAAGGACAGCAAAGATACTCAGCTGGATGGCTTCAACGCCGCATAATCTTTTTTCTGCAGTTTTCAACAATGTTTTCCTTTTTAGGAACTTGGTCCATGCTTGCCACTGCCCAAATAAACTCAAAGCAACATAAACAATCTCCAAAATTAAACCTAGCTAAGAAACACCATTTCTGATGTCACTCTGTTGGCAAGGAAGGCTTTTCACCTTTTTTTTTTTTTTTTTTTTTTTTGCAAGATGGATTACATTTGGTCTGTGTAACACACTGGAAAATGTATTAGTTGGGTTATCCCACAAGACACCCTATGAATAAAAAATAATCTGCCTGGAATGAATCAATATGTGACCCAGTGAATTGCTAACTCTTCCCTAAAAGTGCCTGGAGTAAAAATACACCAAAATGCCAGTCTGCTCCTCTGCAGCGTAGGTGCTATTACTGACAGCATTCCATAGAGGGAAATTGTGTTCTTTACTCTCTTGCTGATAGTTACAAAGTTTCAACTGTGGGTGAGCTTATATATAAGATGCATACGTAGAGAGATTTACTTTTGCTTTAGCATACTTCCCAATACGGACAGGTAAATAAAAATACATGTACTGCGCTGAATACCGGTTTCTCCAGCTCTTAACATAATGTAATATTGCTCCTTAACATCACTAAGTACCATCAGTATCTCCAAAAAAAGTTGCAAAAGCCTCCAGGAAAGCAGCCATGAAACTGATCTTTAGGAGGCATCAACAAAATAAACATACATTAGTTATTCACATTCTTTACGTGTAACCCTGAGAAAGGCTTTATTTCTCAACACCAAATATATGCTTCTCTAATAATAAATATAGCACAATGCTTGTTCAAGTTAATATCAACAATTTGCAAAGCTAAGCCTGCAACTGAGCATCACAAATAGAATGCTATGCCGTTCGAGGTTATATTTAATTTCGAAGTGTCCTTTATGCCAGCAAACAGTTTCCCACAGGGTAACGGCATGTGTTTGTGTGGACATAAGGAACTTTTTAGTTTTCCCAATGAGCTTCCAGTTGGCTCTAACAACAGAACAGCTTCGTTTTCTGCCTTCTTTCTCTATCCTTCTGCGCCAGATTTTCTGCGAGACACAGAACAGTCAGTGGATTTGTGGTTTTACTTCACTACACTCAAAAATAAATTATTTATGAGTCTTTAGAAGGACGTAATTTAAGTGTCCAGTGGTCACTAGCAATCCCCTGTTAATGCCTATCTCCATCAGAACCATTTCTGATAGTTACACGCCTGGGCATGAAACTGCACTGTGTGACGTTATCTCCCATACACAACAATGGAAAAAGGCTTTCACAAAAAAAGGCTGTGGATGTTTACAGCATACCAGGGAAAAACCTTGTGAAAAATCCCAACAAAAACTAAATTGTTCTTTTTTTAAAAAAAAAAAAAAGCCTTAAAAATGACAGCACTGCAAAGAATATTCAAGCAACTATTTTGTTTTGTATTGGAAGAGGGAGTACACTGCACAAACGTCCAGATTCTGGCCAAAACTTTAAAATAACCTAACAGCTTTGGCATGCTGTGGTTAAGACGTTACCGTAAGTCTGACTTGGAAGACTAAAATGTTTCTTTTTTAAGATAAAGAACTAAGGAGAAAAAAAAGATTTCAACATTATTTGAATTTAACATCATTCTGGGACTTTTTATTTCAAGTTTTTGACATAAGTATCTATCGAAGCCTTTTCTTCACTATGTGTTTTTCTGCAGGTCCTGGCTTTCATTTACAGAAAACTAGCAACATCCTGACAGGCTGTATCTTCTCTCTCCACCAAATATTTTCCATCAATTGTTATGGCATGAAAAAAACTATTAGGAAAATATCATATGGACCACATAAGATTCGTTTTCTTCCAGGAATGAGATGCTCAGAGGGGAAAAAAATAGAAAAAAAAGCAAATGCTTGCTTAATTTGAAAACTGAATGATCAGGAGAAGGTCAGCATTTCTCAATTTTGTGAGGGGTTATGAACTTGAAGCATTGCCTAGGCTAAGGATGACAAGCTGCTTCACCAGGAACAGGGGGACAAAGGCTGGAATTGGTGCTCAGCCAGTTTCAAACAAGGGGTCTTTTTACCTCATTCAAAATAATCCAATACTGCACTGTCATTATTTAATCTAGCATACACTCCACATAAGAAATGAACAACGTAACCAGTTGAAACGTTGATCTGGAATATCTGACTCCTTTCTCCTTCGACTTCTACACAAAGTTTACCCCGATTACTTGAGGCCAACATATACTTTATGGGGATATAAGCGTGTAGGTATCATATGCCAGGTTGTGTACTTGAGCTTAGTTTTACCCTTCTCTTCCAGGCACAATGGAGGAAAATGAATGGACCATTAACAAACCCAGCCTGAACGGATGCACTCCTCAAAGTGGCTCAGTCTTCTCTCTGTGTCCCACTCACTTGGAGGCAAACACACTGCATTAAGGGAACAGCCAAATAGCTCCTTTTCCAGGGGAACACAGAGAGAGCTCAGGCTGCAGCACTCCTGGGTCTGCTTCGTTAGGAAACATGGGAGAGGCAGGTGCTGCCTGCGGGTCCCGCATTCTCCGAGCTCAGTTCTGTGCGGAGGATGAGGCACGATGCTTCCTGTGTTTTCTCTCTCATTTCTCAGTGAAAAAGGGCAGTCTGCCAATAAGTGAGCCTTCCTGCTCCATTACGGATAAGGAGGGAAAAAAAAAAAGTCAGGCTAGATGTGCAAAGTGATTTCACACTGACCACAGACCTGAGCCATAACAGAATTTGCTTTCTACTTTAGATCTGTAAAAAACCAAAAAACAACAGCCCTTAAAATATGCCACCATACTGATGCCAGCTGGCATTGTTTTCACCTGTTTAAAGTATTTGAATTACTTAAAAGATTTAGCATAGACTACTCACAGTGGCAGCGTTGTCAAACCTGATAGCCTATCACACTAATAATGATCACAGAGCAGTTCTTGTGTTGCTATTTCTGTATCAATACTGATTGTTGTATACTCAGTGTGGGACTAAAAAAAATTAACACATTGGCCACAGACAGTGCAATACAACCCAGAAAGGGAAAACACCAGGTGCTAAACAAATTAGATTAAGTATAGATTAAATGCATTTGCTAAATATTTGTTATTTCGTTTATGAAAGTATGTTTTATGTATTGTATATTAGTTGTATAATGCATGTGCCACATTGCATGCTCTGAAAGAAAAGGATATGGAGTTTATATTAGAATGTCCACTTGGCAATTGAAAAATAAATGAAAATGATCCTTTCCATAGCTGAATTTTTAAACAGCTGAGATTTAACACAAACCCATTTATTCCCAAGAATCCAGAGACGATGCAAAGGCCAGGGGCTTGCTAATCTCTAGCTGATTTGAACAAAAGTAATTTTATTACAGGGTATAAAAGTCCTAGCAAATTCAATTACTGCTGCAGTTATTTCATTTCCTTTGCAGATTATGGCTGAATTACCATTGGAAATGAGAACAAATGCAGTGCTGTTGCCACTTATTTACCCAAACAAATTATTGGGGACCAATTCAGCCCATGGATATTCCCATTCAACTCTGAAAGTCAATGGATACATGACAATCATCAACACAAAGTGGGGAAAATCAGGAGGGCAAATAACACTCATGAAATAGGCCCCGATTCAGTACTATATGCCCTGAAAAAGTCACTCAGGCATGACTATGATGAGTAACAATTTGGATAAAAAACCAGAAAAGACCACTGAAATTCCCCATAAGACTGTCAAAATCTAAAACATCCCTTAGGATTTTGCTATAGTTTGGAGGCATTAACATTGTGGAGGAGTGCTGGGATATCATAAGGGAGCACCATGTGATTTTGAGGAGTGGAGTAATAGAAATGGGATGAAATTCAACATTACTAAATGCATAAGCATGCACTTGGGGACTAATAACAGTTATAAACTACAGCAACAGAAATGGAATGAAACTTCGTATTATTAATTGGAAGATCACACAATTCAAAGCTATTTTTGCTATGAAGTGGAAGATCTTGAGTTGACAACTGAGAAAAAGGCAGCCTGATATGTATATTAGGTGATTACGGATGCCAACAGAGTGCCCAATAAAAAAGAGAAATATGCCATATCATATACTGCCAGTCAAGATAGGAAATACCATTTTCATTATACATCACTACAATCTCATCTGGACAAGAGTGTAGAGTTCTGGTGACCCACATTTTGAAAAGTTAAGTGAAAATGTGAACGAGTGCAGAGAAAAGACACTAGCGTATAGAAAAGAGAATGCATTATGAGAGCGGAGATTAGAAGTGGGTTGGTTTAACTTTGCAAAGTCAAGGCTGACAGGATATGACCTCCTTCTGGAAATGCACCAAAACACTGCAGAGACACACAAAGCAGGAAAACTCCTGCCTGATCTTCAGTGCAATATAGCCTAAGAATACACTAGTATAAACTTCCCATAAACTAATGAGGACTGGAAATTAGAGAGGTTGCTGAGCATGGGAGAGCAGTGAGGTTTTGGAAAAGCTGGAGATGGGGAAAACACCTCACTAACGTAAACTGGAACTTACAATGTGATACCTGGCAACGGGGCTCTCAAAGATCCAGAAGATCCTTTTCATCCCATGCATCCCATGCAGTGCCTGCTCCCCTGCAGAAATGGCAACTGGAAGTCATATACTGCTGATGTTGTAACCTAGCGCTGACATGAGTTCATGCATTTGCAGCTCTGCATCAGCAACACACACCTCTGAAGGGTTAGATCTCTTTAAATGTCCCATAACGTGCAGCAAGCTTTTCATTGAAGCTACTCAAGGAGCTAAAAGAAATCTCATTTGACCTGTACCTTTCTGAAGAGACGTCCCATATATTAAGACTGAATTCAATTATGGTTGGAATTACCAATAGAAAAGTTAATCTCTTTGTGGAAGAAAACAAAAAACCCTTTCATTTTCATAGAGCAATTTACACACACTGCACTCTCACTCTTTTGAGATATTTTGACACCTACAGCACACTGAAGTATATTAAATCCTATTAGCAACAAGGGGGAAGGTTTTCCTCTTCTTCCAAAACTGCAATTCAGATCACATCCGTTTGCTGGTGTCTGCACACCACCATACAGACTTGGTGCAAACCACCTCTTAGCATTCATAATCCCCAAATAAATGTGATTTATGCTTGTGGTATATGACCGCAAAAGGGCAGGACAACTCATGGTTTGATTCATGCCAGCAGGCGCTGTCATATTGCAAACAGCCTCTTCAATGACTGCAAATGCCAAGGTCAACTAATCCAGCTCATGATGATGTCTGGATGAGCTCCACTGTCTCCTCTTTGAATTTTTCATAGGTAAATATTCCCATATGTAATATTGAGTTACAGTAGGTAAATGTTTTTCTCTGCAGTTCAAAGCAATACGCCAAGACTTGTTTCCCAGAAAAACAGCCTCAAAACAGAACTTATCATAATGACTGAACATTCTCCACTAATAGCACCACTTTGAAGTGAGGACCTATGCACCTAAATTGAAATTACACATTTTCATACATAGGTGCTTGCAACTCAGTTCTTAAATATAGAAGCACTAGTTGGTGTTTTCTAGAGATAAAAATGCTCTGTGTTCTTAAAATCAGACCATTTTTATGTCGGTTTATCAGATTGAAAACTTTTGGCCCCAGCTGCTGTAATCCCACGTTACCAAAAACTCCACTGCTCTCTGTGCCAATGAAATTGAGAAGGGTTTCACATGGGAAAACGGAGAGGCCGTGAGTAACAACAGCTGATGCCTTGATATCAAAAGCTTCTCAATATGAGACTGAATGAGTTACCCCATTGAAATTCAGCCTGGTTCTGTACCAGCAAAGGATCCTCAACCAGGTTTTCAACTGTCTTGCAGGTAGCGCAGTACACACCGCTTTCAAATGAGGGAGATACACACCTGCTGGTGGCCAAGCCTTGATATAGCCCGTGCAATGGACAACAGCATACTGTGCTTCGCCTTCTTTTACTGGGCCAAGGCCATTCCTAAATGAAAAGGAAACACAAAAATATCATGTTGATTGACATGCAGAATAGCTTTATGTTTTTAAGCTACGACTACCAACCATTTGCTGATATTTGTAAGATATGTTAGAAACGACCAACCATCAACCTAGAGTTCTGTACAATGTCAGCTCCATTACAATGCTATTCAAGCCGTACCTGTTTTCCATAATATTTCTCTGAGAAAGATACTGAAGCTTATTTCAGAGATGGAGCTGGTTAGACAAAGAAGTTGAGTGACTCGGGCAAGGTTGCAAAAAGATCCAGTGACTCTGCCGCAGTTGAATTTAGTGGCGAGTTCTCCTTTCCTGAGACCAAGTGCTATTTTAGCCTGTGTGCTAATGCAGATGTTTGTCCAGGTAGTACTCCTTGAGTGAGCATTACCCCAGTGGAAAATGAGAGTGCTTATGGCAACTGATTGTTGTGATAAATTAAGTAATAGTACCTGTATCTTTTTCTCATGGTGGTTATTCTGTTCAGAGGTAAATGATCCAGAGGAGCATTTCCACACCTAAAAGTAGATTTATATTTGAAATGGCTCAAAAATGAATATAAATAACCCAAGATGAAAATGCATTTTAAGATCTTTATTAGTATATATAAGTAGACAATAATGGATATTTATTTCTGACAAGAAGTCCCAGATTCATGTTTTCTTAGAACTTGTTGCTTCCACAAGCTGAGCTTTTTGGGTGTGCTACAAATATTTTCTTCATTTTATGAAGAAAACTGGAAGAGACTACAAAAAGTTTCCCTCCCGCCCCCCCAAACCTTAAGACTATTTGAAATAGATATTCCAAGAGCGGCTAAAGAACAGATACACTTCAAAATACTATAAAACAAGGGTGAAAACTAGAGAAGAATATAAGTCAGGCATAAATAAGGCCCCCAAACATCCACACAAACAGTGTTCCAGTAGCTCCCCTGCCAGCATTTCGACTGCCATACACCAGCTACAATGTTAGCAGATATTAATCTAATGTTTGCAAGAACAGACTATTTACACTGTCAAGTAACTTTGTTTTACACTTGTTCATGTATATTTTCTGATACTTCTAACTATGCCTAACTGTATAATTTTAACAATCCATTTGAAGATAAGTAAACAGTTTGAAGGGTAAAACCAGTTCATTTTCAATGGAAAAAAGAACAATAACAATGAAAAAAGTAATTACAAGGAAAGTTCACATTATTTGAGGCTCATTCTTCCCACAAGGTTTTTTTTTTAATTATTATTTTTTCTTTCTTTTTATTTTTTTTATACCAACCACTGCCAAGGAGAAGGAATGAACAATTAAAATGAGATTTAGAATTACAAAAACAATGGGGCTACTGGCATTTATAAAATTACTCTCATGCACTGGAGTTTACAGAATCACGATGCTAGGAAATAACTGCAATCTGAAATGTTGTTTTAAAAGCTGGGGAACAACTGTAAACAGGACATTAGACCTGGTTTTCTTTGCACAAAAGTCTTCCTCACGTGACCACTCTGTGCAGCTTGGAGGAAGAGAAAGCAATGTTCCAAGTGTCTCTCTGCCAGGCTGTATTTCTTTCCCCCCAGTGAAGGGGGGGAAAAGGAGTTACAGCTTTGAAGTCTAATTTTGCAGGTTTGAAGTATATAAACCCCTTACAAAGGCACCCAAGAGCCATACATTCAGCTTCCTCACATGACTGGAAGAATTCCACATAACCGAAGTACAGGGATCTGTCTTAATGTGTCAAATATTTTGCTTTGCGTTTCATTCCATAACAAATCTTGCATCATCTGTTTTCAACACATATATTGGATATAGGCTGCAGATGCAATTATGTACTTTCCCCCCCTAACCACACAGAGAGAAATTTATTGCAATAGCAACAGGCATTTTATCCCGTTAGCACTACAACAACAGAAGTGCCCACAAACCCCAGTCAGAAGCACTGGCCAGGCAGATCTCTTTAAAGAAGTCCAAGCAATGCAGGAGAAGTTGGAAAATTGCAAAATAAAAACCCTCTAACAATTACTCATTTATCTAGCATCAACCAGCTGACATTTGGTTAATTCATACCAGGCTTAGGTTAACTCCTACATAGCTGGCAAGTTTGGAACTGAATTCCTGTTTGTCTTCAAGATTCTTTTAATATTATTGGTTTGCTGAAAAAATACACAGAATTGGGCTTTCATTACACTTGCGAAAGCTTTGCTCCCAAAGTTTTTATTTGAATAATTTGACTAGGAGAGACAATGGCTTACATTCCAGGGGTGAAGTTGTCATGAAGTTCTCTGGGGAAAGCATCCTACACCCCACACTGATAAAAATAACTGCAACACACAAATGAGGTGCTGTTTTGTTGTTAATCATAAAGGAAGACAGGTTTCTGTTTTACTGCAGTTCCAAAAGCAAGCATTCTGGAAATGCTTAATGGGACTGTGTCATTACAGTTTCACTTTTTAAGCAAGGTCAAATTAGTGCAACAAAATGTCTGAAGTCTAATCTGAGATGGGACTGGCACCATCACAGGAATACAAGGTAAATGCGTACCTCATCCTGCAAATGAAAGAGCGCCTTGATCCCATGCACATTCTCATTGAGGACTGCTGACCCTCTTTCTTTACTGTTCCAGTCTTCAAGTCGAGGATTCGTCCTAGGAAAGCCAGGGAGAGCAACTGATATTCAATACATAAATTTAATTCCATTTACTACAAAGTAAGATGACAATAAGTTCATAAGCTAAATGCCATTAGCCCATTTAGGGGGAAAAAAAAAATTAAGAAAAAATCTTGATCCTGGTCTCACATCGGTTATGTGCTGGCTTAACTAATGATTTCAGCGAAGCTGACTCTTAGTCACAACAGCGATGGCTCTTTTCTTGGTTGGCCCAAGACCAACTTCCAAGGCAAGGTCAAATGTCTGGAGGGAGAGAAGACAATGACAGCAAGCATAGCTTTTTGACTTGATCTGCTCGCTCCACTCTTTACCAAAACTACAGGTAAAGCAACATGCATCATTTCCCTGACAGCTGCTCCTCTTAAACACTCTCACCATAATATCACCTCACATATTCAGGGCTGCTGTGATGGTGAGGAATACATATGACTAAGCTTTTCTCCTTGGTTATGAGACACAGGATATGTCAGAGCATTTGTGGTGTGGCCCTTTCAGAGCTGATCAAAACCTGATATGTCAGCATATTTTTAAATTTAATTTTCAGCCGGATCAGTGAGATGATCTGACTTACTCACCATAATATCACCTCACATATTCAGGGCTGCTGTGATGGTGAGGAATACATATGACTAAGCTTTTCTCCTTGGTTATGAGACACAGGATATGTCAGAGCATTTGTGGTGTGGCCCTTTCAGAGCTGATCAAAACCTGATATGTCAGCATATTTTTAAATTTAATTTTCAGCCGGATCAGTGAGATGATCTGACTTACCATATGGCAACATGAGTCTATGCAAGGTCCGTGGCTGGACCCTGCTGATCAGCACAAGCTGACTACAAACCTCAGAACCTCACCCCACAAACACAGCATTGAAAAAGGATGACAGCAACCAAGTCACCTCAAGAGAGGACAGGACAGAGGAAGCGCTGTAGGAGTGCTCCTGCAGTAAGTTGGGGGGAGGTCTTTATTAAAAAACAAAGGTAGCAAGGTGGTAATAGATTAATCTTTCCCTTTTCTGATACAAAATAGAAGGCAGTAATTACTACAGATAGGTTCAGATCAGTGATGGCACGGTACAGGGTATCACCTAGAATCCTACTGTTTACCACCAAAGAACTAACAGAATGGACTTTTGTATCAACAGCTCAATTGCTAACAGATGACTACAAAATCTTGCACATTAGTAAAACAGACTATAAATGAATCACTGGCCCAGATCCACAATGCTTCAGGGCTGGATACAGCTGCAAAAGTGACAGTGGGCAAAAGAAATGCAGTGGAACAGCTGCTAGACAATTAAACGACAGCCACCAGTGCTGATGACACACGGCCATGAACAAACCTACACGTTTAAGGTGGGTATCTTTCAATAACTGAAATTATATAAGCCTAAGTCTTTACTGTGCTACAACCATCCAGATTGACAGCAATATAAAGATACCATACTCTGTCTGCACTGAATTGAAGAAATCATGCAGAATACATTCAAAGCCTCCCTCACCAAATTTACTTAAAAGTCTCTGTCCAAAAATTAAGTTCTGAAATAATCCTACTGCCAAACATTAATTTCAGAATTACTTTAACTGAAAATATTTACCTCCATCCATGAATGGGAATAAAATCACTACAAAACAGTTTAAAGATCAGTATTTTAGATAAAGAACTAGGCAGTGGCATTTTACTCTTAAGGTATACTAAAGATAACTACTTCTGGAGGAAAGCCATACTTGTCGACAGAAGGTCAGACTATGTCATTTGGTGTATCTCCAAGGTACATCTCAGATGATTAAGAAGTTACCAAACCTGGGAGCAATTCCTGAAGATGCTTCAATTCAGAGCACTGGGCTATGTATTAATATAGATGTATGATTCAGGTGTGAGCTGGGAAGCATCATACCACCATATTTCCCAGCTCAGTTACGCTGACCCTACGACATAGGATGGATCTGAGGTTCAAACACATTTCCCTTCCCTGCATCAGTCTGTTTCTCTGTCTCATTTTCTATATCCAAAGCCACAGTCTCTTTCCCCATCCCCTCAACTAATCACACAATTTAGAGAAATAAAATATCATTAGGCAGGAGGCAAACTGATTCACAAACGAAGGCAATACATGACGAAGCAAATAAAGACAGAATATATATATATATTTTTATGTATTTGTGTATATATAGAGGACCCAATGGCTGTCCATAAGAGCATAGAAGCCAAATCAAACTATTAAAAGCATTTTTCTCTTTGGACACAATAACTTTGTAATACACATAAACAAAAGAAGAGTTTCCGTGCACTTTTTTTTTCAATTCCAATACAAATCCTTGAAGTGACACTAATAATCAAAAAGCAGTGACAGTAAACATCACTCAAACAGCTAATAGAAATGTCTCCGTTTTTATCATCCAAGAGCATCTATAAAAATAAGTATACTTCACAATTACGTGGCCGCTAAGCCTAAAATTGCTGACACATATTCCTTTGGCATGTCTGGAACTCAACAACAAAAGTCATAGTTTTTAAATTTAGCTTTTTGTTTGGCAATGTCTTAGAAATATGTACCAGATAACAAATAGTAGTCTAAATTTTGCCCTGACTTACAAAATCCCTGCAGGGGGTATGAGTCAGAGAAATGTTTGGTACATAGATATTACGACAAAGCGCTCTCAGCAGATTGTTTCAATAGTCCGTCGTGTGTGTGTTAACCTTGTGGAGCACTAACAATATAGCGCAGATTTCGATAACAAACAAGCAGTTTGTGTCTCATTATTATTAGAAGTTTATGATCAAATTGTATTAAAAAAAGGAAGAATTATAGTTGAATAGACTAAGGACAAAGCTTTCAATTTAGCTCAAACAAGCTTATCAGTGCACTCCCTGGGATAAGAGGGATCTCCTAAGACACGGCATACCAGGGCTCATATCACTGTTGGAGCTTTTAAGTTAGTAATACTGGTGTCACTAGGTGTGTAGAGAGTATCTGGGAGAGTAAACTAGGAAAAAACCCACTGTCAGATTTGTACGCAACCAATGCGGCCATGCAGCGCAGGTAAATGCTAGCTTTGGAAAAAGGAACAGCGTAATACTCCCAAGTCCTTGCAGCCTGTGTCTGCCCGCAATATTGCATACACACCGCTAAGAGTTTTCTCTGTTTGGAGAGCTCTCCTGTTTAGTGATGGCAATCTGGATACAGCATTACCCCTTTTTATTTTCGTGCTAACTGCTCAAAAAAACATCTTCATTTCTAGACCTAGACTTACAGCATTCAGCTTTTACCAGATTAATTCTAAAGAAGTACAGAGAGATGGAAAACGGTGAAGTCGGGAGAAGCTGGAGTTGTACCACAATATTTGTCGTGACTTCTTACTGCTATGACAATCTGCAACTGCGACATACAACATCACCTGGTCTCAAGATAAAAGTCACAGCTGTTTCTTCCCAGGCTCCTGGCCACTCCCTGCCTGACTCTGAGAAGGGAATGGACCCACACTGCTCCGCTTCTGCCAGCGTGGAATTGCAAGATCATATTCTACCTGCTTTAATATCATCTACAGTTCGCTGCAGCTGCTCATGTGATGGACCTTGGCAGGTCCCACATTGCATTCAAGCAAACTGGCAAAAACTGCAACTCAGCGTCACACAGACAGCTCAGTTCAAGGAGGTGGCATGCTCTGATGACAACTCTGTCACAGAACCATAAAATATTCATAACTCCATGTGTTCCTGCATCTTCTACGCTGGTGCTGCTACCCTGGTGATAAATGCTCATTTAGGTTTCTCCACAGGAAACACGCACAAAGTACATTTGTTGTAAAAGTTGGAGATTAATATATTCTTATTAATAAGAAATGTTCTAGGGTGCTCTGACAACTTCTGCTGAATAGTGCACATGTGCATTTTTTTAATTTCTTTTCCTCGTTTCTTCAGAAGAACAGTTTTAACAAGCCAGTGCCACCACCAGCTGGATCCCTTATGAGCTTTCCCATAAATTGGTAACTGCATGTAGTTCATTTTCACGTTAAACTTTTTCCCTCTCCAGCTCCAGATACAACCCTCAGATACAGCAAGTGCAGGATGCGTGTCTCAATCACAGCACTACTGTGACTGAGACTGCTGTCTTATTACCATTTACAGCAGCTGCACAACTCAGAGGAAACCAGAGTTTACTCTGCTGCAAAAGAGAAAGGAAATAAATGAGCACAATGCTTATTAAAACCAGCACATAAATCTCTCTGGTCGGTCTGGGTATAATTGATAATTTGTTGAAATCTACCCACTACAGTCCCCATTCAGAAGGCAGTATTGCTTAAACCTGTAATAAACCAGTTGTCCTCTGAGCAGGAATCCACCACGCGACCCAGGAACCTGATCTCAGCTGTCGTTACAGGAAAGGGCTGCCAGAGGGGCCACAGAGGTGAGGACGATGTGCAAGAGATTAATTATTTGGGTAAAATTAGAGAAGCCATGTAAAGCTCTTCCCACTAGAGATTATTTAGTAACAGATTCAAGTACTGAGGATACATGCCAGAAACATTCCCTTCATGTTATGCTGCAGCGTGTTTTCAAATATGCTCTAAAAACGTTCTCATAATGATCAAGGGGACAAATGTTCATATTGGCACCGATATGCCCCTTGTGTGTGCAAATAGCGCACAGATTACGCATCAACCTTCCCCTTTTGGATCTCCAATCACTACTGTGAATGTTCAAATACCTTTTCTGTGCTTGCAATGTTTGAGATGAACCTAAGCCAAGGATTGGCCTGGGCCTACTGAAGTTCATGGGGTTTCAAATCTGGGAGTTTGGCTCAAATCCATCTTTCCACAATAGCACCAGCCTGTTAGAAAATTTGTTCCTCCATGTTTAAGCACTGCATGCTAACGTTAATAGCCTAGTAATCAAACACGGTCTGTTCTTTGTTACTTTTTTTTTTTTTTGGTAGATTCAAAACTCCATAAGCTTCAACACCTAGTTCTACCACAA